TATTGTGACAAATGCTGTCCTAGAGCACATAACAATAGAACCAGGATTCAAATTCTGGGACTTTATTCCAGCATGTTCCATGAGCTGGCAGGACTGCTAGGAGATTGCTACTAAGGTCATCTCCAGGCCATGTGGACTGTGACAAAACCAGCTCCCTTACAGAATCACCCCCAGAGACTGGAATGCTGCCACAAGAATGCAGCATAAACTGCTTTGTTCAGCTCCACTGATTATTGTTAGCTTCTCCCATCCCCAACTAATCACTCTCATTGACAAAATTTTAAGAGACACATATTGACCAGGCTACACTGCCAAATTCTCTACTGGCTTCAGCCCTGGAAGAGACTATCACCTGGGGAAGACTAGAGAGACTTCTATGAATACATCTGTTGGCTGGATAGCCTGCATCCTATATGCACTCTGAACCCACCCCTACATCCTGCCACTTTCACTCATCCTTCCATAGGTTTAACCGGGACACACAAAGGGGGAGATTAGAGAGAATTTCAGTTGCATTTCAATCTCAAAGATTCTAGACTCAAACTCATGGAGCTGAAAACCTAGTCTTAAAAAGTACAGAAATCAAAGTCTAGAAAATCTGGCCTATAGCTAGAGATGTTTTTAAATAATCTTCAGAGGAATACAACGATACTCTAGGGCAAGTATTCCCAACTCAGATGTCCACAGGAGCCAGCAGGATGTTGGGAGTTAGTGAAGTCAGCCAGTGGCATCTGGATGACTCACATGTCGGTAAGAGTGGCAAGTTTCTCCTTAGTTCTAGCTGATTGTTTTCTGGTGGAAACACAAGGCAAGAATGGCCTGACCTTGACATTTTTCTTTAGAATCCTGGGCTACAGATCTATATGGAAATCTTTTAAAACAAAATTTTAAAAAATATCTTAAAAAATCTCCATTTTAAAACATTGTTAACTGAAAATAAAACAGACAATTCCATGGCTAATGGAACATGAATACAGGGCACAGCAGACCAGTCTTGCTGCTTTGTAAACTGGCCTGTGATACACATTTGACTCAGGGGAGCAGGGGCTGGCTAGAACTAAGGATGTACGCTGAGATACGGTAGGAGGCCATGCTGAGTAAATGTTGGCCTAGATTTAGAATGAAGGGTGGGCCCCAGAGGACTCACAAATCTGCTCAGAAAAAATAGGGAGGCAGAGTGGCAAAGTACAGGCCTGTGTTAAAATCCTTGCTTCTCAACACAGTAGTTATGAGTAGGTTGCTTTGCCTGTCTTGATTTCTTCATAAACAAAAGTGAGACTAAATCCTGACAGGGTCATGAAAATTAAATGAACTTATATATAAGGAAATGCCTGGACTTGGTTAAAATAGCTTTTTAAAAAGGTTTCCGAAGATGAAAATGATGTAGTGTGCATGAAAATCACCTGGAGGGCTTGCTGGGCCCCAGCCCAAGCACAGGTCTTTACAAGGTTCCTGGGTAAGGAAGATACTTGAGATCACTGCTTCAGGAAGGCTGGCCAAAGGCAGTTTGGAGCCTGGCGTCAGGAAGACTGATGAGCTCTCAGGTGGTGTGACCAGTCTGAAGGGAGCAGTGTTTCCTACCATGTGGCCTTGGAGCCCAGCCCAACCCTGGTGACAAGACCATAAAAGTTGACCTCCTGGCTCCTCCTTAGATGAGGACACGGCACAATATTAGTGCCAATGAAAGCTTAACTATGCCAGTCTCCTGTCTGCTTCTCCCCCCTGTCCTCAGGAGCCTTAGGTCAGCTGAGGGAGGCAGGCCTGGCCCCCTGCTGGTGCTCACCTAAACACAATTTTCAAACCCAAACCTTAGCAACAGCCTCGGACCTATGTCAGTCCTCCGCTCTTTTGGGTCCCCACCTGTTTCTCCTAGATCTTTAACAGCTAATGGAAGCCTTCTGCAGAGTTCCAGGCAATATTCTGAGCCACTTTAGCAAACTCACCTTCAGAAAACTGTATCTTTTGAGACCTTAGGAAGTTTAAACTACATGCAGGCATATTTTTAAGTAGTCTCAAGATGATGTTGATGCTGTTTGTTTGGGGTTTGTATGGAGCCATCATGGTAATTGGTATGCTTGTCTAGATGTCCCCCAAAGCCTCATGATGTCCTCGGTGGGCTTTTTCAGAGGTGGCTGCATCTGGAATGTGTGATGCTGGGATTAAGGGTGATTACTGAATTAGTCCAGATTGGTCTGGCACCCACCCTAATCTGGGTAGCTTAGACAGAATATAAAAACAGCCAGAAAGAAGTTGCTATTATTGATCGTCCCTTGTTTGCTTTTGCTGTCTTCTGCCCACCATGAACTATTTCTCCTCTGTGATGCCCCTCTGCCATGCCACCCTGCTTTGGAGCCAGCCGATTATGGATTGAAATCTCTAAAAATTGTGAGTAGAAATAAACCTTTCCTCCCATAACTTTTGTTGTAGGGCATTTTGTCTCAGCAATGAGAGAAAAGTAACCAAGATAGTAAAAGGATGTTTTATTCAGTTCATATAGTACTAGTGATATGGAATGCATGGGAACCCCCACCTTGACTCCAGTAAACAGACGCGAGAGCAAAATGACAAAAACAAGGCTAAAATAATCCCCGAAGCTATAGATTCTCACTAAAAATCCAGAATTCAAACTGGTCCTAGGTTGAAATGGTGGATTGGCAGTGCTGGTGAAGCGTTAACCTGAAAACTAGAAACAGGCCAGGAACAATGGTCTCCAGTAGCAACTGCAGAAGATGGTCCAGGCAGAAGATCTTGGCTTTCAAAATGGGACAGTGCACCCCCACAACCAAATACCATCTTTAATGAGGATGGTTTCCATGACAGCTCTAATGCTTGGGTGGCTTTCCAGGGTGGTAACACCTGTTCTTGTCTTAGAGTGCCAGCTCTTGTACTTCACTGGGCTGCACAGGGTAATAGGGTTTCTAGCCACAGCGAGAGAAGCCTAAGTAGTTTGAGGTCAGTGACAATTCATTTCTTGCTTAGGAATGAACAATTAGGGTATTTAAGGAATAAGTCTTTTTCGTGGTCTAAACTCCCTTAGGGAGGGACTTTAATCTCAGAATATAAACACTTTTTCTAGGTTCAGCACAACTAATACCCAAAGCATAAGGCCTCAGTCGAGGGTGCAAATACATTTGCCTGGCAACCAGCTAGTTGAGAAGCTAAAGACTGGCTTTCTTGTTTTGTTTTTGGTACTAGGGATTAAACTCAGGACCTTGTGCTTGCAAGGCAGACAGCGGAACCACTGAGCTAAATCCCCAACCGAGACTGGCTTTCTTGTCTGAAGCCCTTCTTGTGCTTTTGGTAGTGGCTAGTCCTCTTGCTCCTGACAATATGAGTATGTACGGCCAGGGGAATATAAGCATTTTCCCCCTTTGATTTGACTCAGCTGAGAGTCAAAAACCTAGTTTTTTGTCAAAAGCAGTGATGTGTCAGTTAACCTTCCTAGTCTGATAATGTTCTGCCTCATTTTTTTTAAATAAAATCTTTAGCCTAGATGACTTTTAGCGGATATAATATGTTGAATAATGTAACTGGTATCTTGCCATATTTAAGTGTATGAAAATTAGGGTGCTTCTTATCAGCTGGTCCAGGCTTCTTTAGCAACAGAAAAAAAGCAGAGAACTGAGATAAGCCAAAAACTGCCTGTTCAAAAATATACAAAATGTAGTCAGTTGAGCACTTGTGGGCAGAAAAGACATTTTCTCTGAGCTTGCAGATTCTGCCCTCATTCTGGTTGAATAAGAACAATGCTGGGAGGGTCACTCATCTCTGTGAAGAGATCTCCCTTGGAGAGATACCTCCCAGGAAGGAGGGTCCTAGTAAAGGTCTATGGTCTTGGAGCAAAGATACTCCCGTCAGTCTGAGAAGTTTCTTTGCAAAACACAGGACTGGTAGATCCAGCAGTATTTACTAGTAGCAGCGTGAGGAGGACTGAAGTCTCCTTTCTTGAGCTGCGAACTCTAGTTGTTGAATCCTGTAACTAAAAAGGCCAACCACCTGCTTCAGCTGGAAACAAAACTGTGCCCACTAAGAGGTGGGAAACTGACCACTCATCAGATGTAACTGCCACCTGCCCTGAACTGTGGCCAGTTTCAAATGATATCACATGCTACAAAAAGATCTTGCTACATTCTTGGCAAATCATAATTTAGGGGTATTTAAGGTTAAGGAGCAAATAGAACATTCATTTTAACATGGAACCAGATGAAATGGTTAAAAATGATCAGATTAGGGATGGGGTGTAGCTTATTAACTCATGGTAGAGCATGTACTCATTAGCACGTACAAGGCTCTAGTACCTAGCACGTTCAATTCCCAGTACTGTCAACAAAAAATCAGATTAGCAATATCCAGTAACAGCCTCAACTAATTCTTGGTCTGAAGTAACCTCTAACACCACCGAAGGCTTGTTGTACAGTGTGTTCCAAGGCCCAGTGGCACAGCATAACCCCCATCCATTTGCCAGAAACACAGATGTGCAGGTCCCCGACAGGATGTACTGCCCTCAAGTGACCAGCATCAGTAATGGTTCAGGAAGGGAAGACACCATCTGCCCCCGACTAGCTACATCTACGAGCTTCAGACAAAGTAATCACAGCCCAGATCCTTTGCTGACAGTCATGTTATGCCAAAAAATGGGCAGAGGAAAAGGGTACCCCTTCACAGACATAGGATCTAACATTTAGTTGACGCTGCAAAGTAGGAGTATCAAATGATTTTATTATAAAACACTATTTATTGATCATTCACTTTTCTAAAAAATGCAAGTGTGAGAACAGAAGACTTCTAAGACTCACTAGCCCCTGCAGGACAGAAAGATGCCCTAGACAAAGAGCCTGTTAGTGGTTTTCTTTATACCTAATGTCTGGCTTCCTCATCACTCCATGGCTGTATGTTTTGTCACCTCTGACAAGGGAAAGGAAACTAGCTAGAATTCATGTACAAGAAGGTCACAACTTTAAGGCTATCAATGTTATCAGTTTGTACATTCTAGTTTGTAACTCTGAGACACAGTATCAAGTAAGCAATGTCAAGTATCTACTCCCAGCTAAGAGTACTGTCCTTATGCTTTGAAGTTACCTTTGGGACTAACTACGTTCTTTCATTATAGTTTCTGTTTATCTGAGAGTACAAACTCTAAAACCCATGTGCAGTTCTCCATGTTCAAGTATAAAAGTTCATCTCAGGACCCCATTAGGTTGCTGTAGTGTTTATAATTCTGTAGTGTCTACCAAGTATAACAATGTTGGACAGGCCGGTCAGGTGGCGGCACAAAGCAGGGCACAGTAACAACTTTCTCACTGCCAGACTTGCTCCTTGTTCAAGCTGGACACTGCACCATGGTCAAAGCAGAGATCTTGAAATCAGTGGTAATCCTGGCCAACTGAAGTGGTACTCTTAGGTAGCAGGAATCCATTTCTTCACCATTAATTAAATGGAACTTTCAAAAGGTATCAGGTCTGTTCTAAAAAGAAAAGATAATCATATCAAAATGCAGCTTTTTAAGATGATACTCAATTTTACGTTCCTAAAGGAGTTTATAGGTCAACTAGAAAGATGTAAAAATGACTGTTTCACATTCCATTGTGGACTCAAGGACCTTCTCCCAAGAGAAAGACAATCCCACACTTAAATAAGTGCCCTGCTGCTCTTGTGTTCTTCACTGACATTCCAAAGACCCCAGTCATTTCACCTCACTTATCTGCTTTATTAGAAATAACAGACATCTCAGGGCTGGGGATTTAGCTCAGTGGTTCCAGCGCCTGCCTTGCAAGCACAAGGACCTGAGTTTGATCCCTGGTGCCAAAAAAAGAAATAACAGACATCTCAAAGAATCTTTTTTTTTTTTTTTGGAGCAGGGATTGAACTCAGGTCCTTGTGCTTCCGAGGCAGGCGGCAGAACCACTGAGCTAAATCCCCAGCACTACCTTTTTTTTCAAAGAATCTTAAGAGAACACCATGAACAGAACGTGAGGGGCTAGGACATACTACAAGGGTTGTCACAGTGGTCAAGTAAAAAGCCCAATATATACTGTCTTCCAAAGCCTGAAAAAAGCATTCATTTGTGCATCTACTGCTGAGTTTTAAAATGAAATTTAATTCCTAATTTAATAAAAAAAGAACAGATTCTCATGGTGACAGAATGATAAATTAGAAACCTTACTAAATACATGGAAGTATCAGAGCTCAAAGCAAACTGTGAATTCCACTTAGTATACCACTTTAAAATGCACTGCTTGATTTTATATTAAAATTGCAAACTCAAGTTAACTCATGTCCAGTGGAGAGTCATTTAAGCAATTTTAGAAAAATTGCTTTCATGTGAATTTCCCTGGCACACACCAATCATCCCAGCTGGATCCTAACGAAGTGTCTATGCAGAGTAAATGCTTAGCTCCGGTAGCAGAGTATCTTACTCAGTGATGTAGGAAAATACTACCAATTAGTTCTCAGTGAAATGCGACTCCTAAAAGGAGGTGAAGCCCATCTGTAGTAAACACTTTTCTGAACAGATATGAAATATTATCCAAAATTACAGCTTATCTCTCGTCTACCCATTTTATATATCTGTAAGAGACAAATGCTCCCAGACAAAAGATGGAACACCAGACCTTAGGAAGCATCTTGGGACAGAGCTGGAGGGTCCTGGCTTTCAGGCTCTGGAGGGGGCGCCGGCACAGCTTCTTTTTTCTTGGCTGCCAGGAACTCATGAATTGCTCGTTCTATCTGTGGCCTGAAGATGTGGTTTAGTTTTGGATCCACAACCTGAGATATAATCCTGTCCACTCCTGCTTCCAACATCCCTGACCTTGTGGAGACAAGACAGATCACTGTTATTTAGTTCCTTCGAGAGTCATCTCTAGCCCCAAGAAGCCCCAAGTGTCATGTGAGAGTCAAGCGAAAATCCACCTGGTACCTTTCTGGGGAGTTTTTTTAAAGGGCTATCTACTTACCCCATGGAGCTCAGGTCACTGTAATTTCTCTTTTGAGGGGAAATTCACAAACAGGAGCGTCCTATTATTCCTAACTCAGTCTCATCCACTACTACCTCAACTTTGTACAAATGAACCAAATAAAAATGGGCAAACTGCCCCAAAGACAAAGAACAAGTGACAACGTTAAGAGGAAGGAACATGATGACAACCGCAGCTGAAAACCTTAATTGTACTGTCAAAGCTGGCCATCCTGGATTTGACTCTACTCCCTTCAACACTTGTTCTCTTACTATAAAGCAGAAACAACCTCTGGCAGCAGTTTTGTCACTATCCTCAAATCACATACAGCAGAGATCAGTCAGGGGGAAGCATTTTCATCACCAGAAATTCAACATGGCTTCCAGCAAAGGCCACTACTTACAACATATAGTCGGCAAGTTGGAAGCAATGGTTCTAAGCTTCTATGGGTTAGAATAATGCTTTCTCAAGTAGAGCAAAGTGCAGTCAAAATCTATCAATGTTTGTACTGAAACACTTGGGGCATGAAATACATTCTTGAGAGCGGGGCCTCATTACCTCATCACCTTTAGCTGGTTCTCAACACTGCCACACCGAGGCCAAGCTTCCAGCACAACTATATCCAAACCACAGCACCACTTTATCACATGAGCTGTTTCAGGTTGGCACCACCATAATTACCTGCACCACTACAGGGATCCTTTGTGCTACTACATTCCTATCACTCCCTCCCTCCACCATTCCTATCCCCGGCAATCACAAACTTGCTCTCCATCTTTGTTAGTTCATGAATGTTGTAAAGGGACTCATGCACCACGTATCTTTTTAATATTGGCCTTTTGTCACTCACCATAATTTTCTGACATTTCCATTTTGGAAAACCCAAGTTTCACAAGCTTTCAGATATTCAGGAGTGTTTAAAAAAAATCTGAGCACATTGAAAAAAAGCTGATCTCAAGATATGATTCCATACCAGTGCCCAGTAATACTGAAGTCACCTGGATGAGCTCTCTGTAGCACCTTTCTTGGCAAAGATTTGGTCTGTTACTGTGAAGGAAAATGTTTTAAAAGACCATGTTGGGGCCAGGGATTTAGCTTAGTGGTTCTGCCGCCTACCTCTTAAGCACAAGGACCTGAGTTTGATCCCCTGTACCAGAAAAAAAAAAAAAAAAAAAAAAAAAGAAAGAAAGAAAAAAGAGCATGTCTTCCCGAAAGCTGCCCTTACACTTTAAAGGTGGCCAGGATGGACTCTCAGAATTTATAGAACTCACATTCACTTGTGAGAATAAACATTAATCTCCTCTTGTCTAAGATCCAAACACCATTATCCTGGTATAAAGCTCACACACTCAGACTGCGCCATAAACTTTAAAGAATAGAGAATAAGTCTCACAATTTTAAAGATACTCCAATGCACCCAGTAGATATGCACATGTAGCAGGCAGGCCTCCAATGAATGGAAAAACCAGCAAGAATTTTGTGGAGTGCTTTTTTTCACCTTGATTATAATACAGGAGGAGAGTACCACACTTGATATAAAGTATCATCTTCTTGACTAAATAGTGGCTCAGATCAGCCTTCCTGGGCACTGTCCCTGTGATCACTGCTTTTTCAGAAGCTCTAATCCTGCTTACTTACTGAACCACACTCTGTCTCAGACCATTTCGCAACTGGTTCTTGTTCATTGTAGGATTCCATTCCTGCTTGTCCAGATGTGTTGACACAAAATTATCCACTTTCTGCCTCAGGTTTTGGTAAGCTGGCTAAAATATTAAAGAGAGATAATGTCAGCTGTTACATGCAGTGCAGTGTTTGGACTTAGCCATTCACATAAATACATATTTTCGTATCTAAATGCTCTTCCGTGTGACTGTGGTGCTCACCATGAGTCACTGGTGTCACAAGTACCCACCTTACTGTCGGTGGCACAATGCTGGATGTTTTACTTGTATGAGTCCTATTTACTTTTCCAGTAACTGTTTGGGAAAGGTCCTATCAGCATTCTCCTGTCCTCATTTTAGGCACTACACTTTCAGGCTTAGAAAGGGAAACAACTTACTCATGTGGCTGAAATGTGGCGAAGCCAAGGTTAGATCCAGGCTGTTTCTGAATGACAGGAACTGGGTTCTAGGCCTGGCTTCACTACTCACTATCTGACTACTTTCAACGAGTCACCCAACCACCACATTTCCACTGTGAAGCAGAAATGCTCCTGCCCCACTTACCTCATGGGGGTGCTCTCAGCAATAAACTCAGCAAAATTCCCTGCATAAAATGAAGGACCACCCAAACCTCAGTGTGATTCAAGAATACAGACTAATGTCAAAGTTCATGGAACCTTATCAAAGGCTATGGGGAAATAACATGTTAGTTTATAAAAGAGCTCACGAGGCACTTACTGGTCTTAAATGTTCTAGACCCAACTACAATCAGGAGAGCAAAGCTAGAAAGTTACTCAATAAACTGAAGAAATCCATGTCTGAGCCTCCAAGAGTGTGTGCTGCCTCATCCCTCCTATTTTAGGCATAGAACACTTCCTCACTCCACTCAAGCAGAGTGTAGCAATGAGAAGCTCAGGCCAGTGGAATGTTGGAGGTCACAGGGGCTTTAAATGTGATTATGCTTCTTATTTGGCTCCTGTGTTCTGGTGAGCCCATAAGAGGGCATGTCACAGGCACCAGACTGCTTCTATGGCTTGGGGCCTAGGGTGGACACATGTGCAACAAGCCTAACCACAGCCACAGCCTTGGCCCTGCAGCACAGCATCAAGCCTATCTAGATCAGCTGAATTTGGTTGACTAGCATCCCTTATAGCATGAGAACAGATGCTTGTTATAAACCAAGACCTGGCTTGTTAAACAGCATAATGGTGGCCAAGTTTGATAGCAATTAAGGAAATGAAACTGAGAAGAGGAATCTGGGGGCCTCAAGTGATTCTACCAAAAGGCCAAGAGAGCAAAGACATAGGGACTCTTCACTAAACCTGGAAAGTGGAAGGCAGGAGATGAGGAAGGTGGAGTAAAATTCACAAATTCCCAGGTACTACCTGCCTAGCAGCTCTTTTTCTTGGTAACCATCTTCTCTTCACAAGGGTAGTAGGTGCTATGTCCTGCTCAGACAATGCAAATGCAGACATTCTCTAGGATTTCCTGAAGTAGAGAGAAGTCTCCCTCTAGAGGAAGAAGCTGCAGTATGTAATCAAGGGGTACTAGTAATGAGTGATGTCACTCCTAGGGACAGTAAAATAAAGAACAAAGAAGAAAGTGCCAGTGCAGAATCCCTGGTTCCAAATGCATTGCTTTCCTTTTGGCATAGTTCATTTCATTCCTCCTTGCTCAAAAGAATTAGATTTGTCACTTGTAACCATGAACCCTGATACTATATCTATCCTCTCTTAAAATAACTCACTTGGTTTGACAGAATAAAAACTTGACAAAGGACAGGGACTGTCCCCCCAAACCTTAACAAACCCTAATATAGAATAATGCCTTCCACTCAAGAGTTCAATAAATTAATGTGGCTATTAACATTTTACTGTCTACTACCTAACTCTCCTATTCACCTATCAGCTTGTTCTACTCATTCTGGATGCACTGCAAAGGAAATTACTGACATCAGTTTGCTTTCTTCTAAACACTCCACCAGTCTGTGGTGGGCTCCAAGAATCTGACTTTCTATTAAGTTCTGAGGTGACACTGATGTTGCTAATCAAAGACGACACTTTGTAAAGCACTGGACTAAAGCAGCAGGAATGAAAACACCCTGGTGGCTATCAGAAAGAACAACTAAGGAGGTTCAAGTGGAAAAGGCCTCCATGGCTCCTATACCCTTTTCAATACTTCTTGTTTCTTTTTAAAAGTCACATGTATACCTTTATTACATGAGTGGAGAACTTCTCATGGGAAGTTGAGAACATCCAGTACTGGGAAAGGTGGAAAGCACTGTCAAGGCCTTTTTATATAAAGAAAATTATAACTTTGTTTTAAAGAGAGAACTTCTACTTGGGTTTTTCATCTTGGAGGAATATAATAGCATATACCACTTACTACATATAAACTAGTTGGTTTACATGTCAGTTTTTCTCTCCTAGAAGCTGTAGGGATGGGCTTCCAGCACATTACAGGTCAATAAACATTTAGTGAATAAACAGAGTAAGTCTTTCCTTACCTGTACAGTCTAATTTTAAGCTCACAATCTTGCTATCAGGCAGGCAAAAGCTTTTCACTGCAGGGTCAGAGAAGAAAAATTACTACCCTGGAGGAGCCCAGTCAGTAACAGAGCCTTGGAAACCTACAATGTTAGTCTTTCTGGAGGAATTTTGAAAAGGGAGAAAGTGGATGTTCCAGCAAATACTACTATATATGTCTGACCCTAAACACACATAAATTTTATTAAATCTAAATAACCCTGCCAAGTAAGTGAAACAACATTTTACTTGGGATGTGTGTGGGGGGGTGGCCTATAGCATTAGGATAAAAAAAAAAGCACCAACTCTCTTTTAATTAGTCATGGGATACAAAATAAGGGTGCTAGTTCTACAACTTAACCTCATACTAGCTGCAAATCACTAGGCTAGAAAAAAAAGACAAGTAACTATTACATAAAATGCTGATGATTGGATGGAAACCATTCTGTCTAACTTCCAGTGAACAAAGAATGAGTGAAAATTCTAAAGCATGCCTGTGTGCCTACCTGGCTTTCTCCCTTGTTTTGTTTTTTTGAGACAGGGTCTCCCTGTGTGGTTCAGGCTGGCCCCAAACTCTCAGTGATCCTCCTGCTTTGGCCTCCCTACTCCTGAGATTACAGGTTGTGACCCATCATGACCCGCTTTCCTCCACTGTTCTTAACATACAGCTGGATTTGGGGGTTAGAGGCTTAGAGGAGTTCCACTTGGGGAAAGAGAGGGTGTAGGCTTTAAAATCCGTATTAAATCCTCAAGTGTTCAGAAGCGACTGGGTTAAAACCACAGCTAACAATCGAAGGGCAGAGAGAACCCACATGCACATCCCTCAGAAACCTCTTGGTACTGTACTGCCCCAGGCGGCTTCACATGTTACTGCTAGTACTTTCACACCCTTACACTATCTTTTGTTTTACTCTCAGCTATGAAAAAATCAAAGCAGCCACCTGGACGGCTTCACGAAGCCCAGCCTGGGTCCCCTCCGCCCGGGCGGCCCCAGTTACCTTGGTGTCCACGTCTGCCAGGCAGTCCCGGCGGAAGCTGTCAAACAGGCCCCGGCTCTTGAGCTGCTCCACGATGAGAGCAATGAGCTGAGGGTCGCCGGGAGGAAGTGAGGCCGGATTAATAGGGCCG